TATGTATGGGAATCTTATACATTTTATATGATACAAAGGTTATTTTATGTGTTGTGCTACCTATCCATAGAGCTACAGGTGACGATCCTGTTAGCCATGTGAAAAATCAGAAGTGATAAAACTGAAAATCTTTAGAAGTATTTGATGAATTATGGTCCATATAAATCTCAATATATTTTAAAGAAGTTTGCCTGAGATAATGGAAATCACCTAAGCTCTGAAAGCTGTTAAAGTCTCAAGGACTTTACTAATACCCAAATGATATAAGCCCATCATTATCTAATTTATTCTAATAATTGCTCTCCCACTGTGAAATATTTTCTCTAATTTACAGAACAGAGAACTCACACTGGATTACGTCCACTGAGTAAAGTGACAGAGATCTTAGAAAAAAGTAAGGCCAGGTTTGCTCGACGAGCTCTAGCATAGCGGGCTGGAGGATGAAAGGGGCTGTAGCCCCACCCACTTGGCAGTTTGGCGGCTGTTGTAGACTATCATACTTAAGTGCTGGTAAGGTTATCACTGCCTACTTTCCAACTGGGAAACTCTTGCCCCTTCCATGTGTTCCTTCAGAACAGAACGAGTGATGTCACAGATGAGTGTGTGCATTTATGTCCATGAGCACACCAGATATTACATACTGTAGCAGTAAATACTGTATTTATGCTTTTGGTTTTAATTATCCTGATCAAGGCATAGCTGTCTAGTCATTCTGAAATATTCAATGGTAAGGCACAAACTATTGCACTGAGAGTATCTTCTCGCAAACATGTATATGCAGAAAGAGTATTCTTATCTACATGGGTGAATGGGACTCGCACATCAAGGACTAAAGGCACAATCTCATACATGACAGAAAATAGTGCTAAAGCACCCAGCATTCCCCAGCCAACCATGCTGACTGCAGAAGGATATGACCTGTAAGACCTTTTTCCTGTCTAAATATGTATAGGATTGCATCTGAATTGGTTTTCAGGCTAATATAATCGTTTTGAAAGAGGTTTGTGACTGAAACTAGGCAAGCTGACTTTTTTTCAGCTGTAATTTCAGCAGCAGGGGCTGTAGCATAGAATTGGGGAGGGGGGATCATGTTGCCTCCCCCTGCCTTTGCTAAAGCTATCTCACTCCATTTTGTTTGTATGCATGTATTTTAGCATTCTTTTTCAAAACACCTTTATACCAAACTTTTACCAAATACCTTGTACCAAAGTCAGTTTGACTAGAACATTTGGATATAAGATGACTTTCTGGGTGTTGCAGGGCTTCCCCCCCCCCCCTCCACCCCCCACCCCCCCCACCTCTTTCTTGCAAAGGATTGTGTCCTGAATGTTATAAAGGTGCATGAACAAGGCCAGCTGAAATCACATAATGCTTCTAGCACTGCAGTCCAATGGATCTTTAGTCCATTATGTTCAACTGTGTTAATGCTGAAGCGGGCATCTGATTACAACTTGAATTTGGGTCCAGATTGGGACCTAATGTGAACAGCCTTTTACAATCCTTGTTTCATTCATTCTTATAACAATTCTAGAATACTGATACATTTATTTTACATCCCGTTTCTCATGCTGGGCATCTAGAAATCTTTTACTGATACAATATAGAAGCAAATGTGTTATTTCCCACATTTGCATCCCGTCTCTTCTTGAAAAAGTGCAGAACTTTTCAATGCATTTTTCTACTCCTTCTATCCTTGGAACAACCCTGTGAAGTAGGTTAGGCTAAGAAGTAATGATTGATACAAGGCCACTCACAAAGTAAAGAACTTTGGGGCTTGAAGGATATTTCGCCTACCTGAACCTTCATCTCACTGTCCAAGTCCAATGCTTTCCATTTCACTGTGCTACCACACCGACCACGACTGAGACTAAAGTTTGAGAACTAGGGTAAATTTATCCAACAGAAATATCAGCATACTACAAATGAACAAACCCTACTGAGATGGGTCGTTTGCTTCTTTTTGCCATGAAAGGAAGCAACAGACAAGTCAACATTCACAGGAACAATTCCCTTGTTTGCAGAAGCCCTCCAGTTTCAGATAAAAGCAATGATAAAGTGAAGAACAAACATAATGCATTCTTTAAATGGTTGCATGCATTCTTCTGTAACTTTCAGTGCAAAACTATTCCTGCTTTATGCAATAAGAGGGAAGTGGGGTTCTGTAACTTTCAGTGCAAAACTATTCCAGCTTTATGCAATAAGAGGGAAGTGGGGTAGAGTCTGCTGACCCTACCCCAACATTGTCATGTTGGCTAAACCTATCGTCAGTGTCCTTAAACACCCATCCACCCTCACTCCAAAGTAAGTAGGAAGGTTCCATTCACTTTTTTAAAACTTTTGTACAGTCTGGAAATCTCATAGAGTAGGTTTCTTGGCCACTTGGAAATTTGTCTGCATTCAAACTTCTGCCTAAGGAAGTGTTCAGGGCTCCATCCCTTTTACTAGCATTCATGCACCTTGTGGCATAGGATATTTTTAGGAGGTTCTTAAATCATGTATTTTATATACTCCTTACCATTTTCCCTACATGAGGATATTATACTCTTCCTGGGAACATGAACAATACTGTAGGAACTTATATGTTTTAGTCACATGGTGAAAGGGTAAAATATACTTTTCCTGGGGGTTGGAAAGTAGTTTTGCAGGGGAGCAGTTCCAATGCAGAAAAGGCTTGACCAGAAAGCATTAAGCAGCTCCATCTCCCTCCCATTTTCCCCACTAAGATTCAATGCAAGAAAAGTTTAAAACAATAAATATCAGGAAACAAGAGCTTTGGCCCTTGTATGAGGAAAACTGGACATAGACACTCCTGGACAGTAAAGAGTAAAAGTATATAGTTCTCTGTTGAAAAAAATCTAACTCAAATGACTCTTTCTCACTGTCTATCAGTTTCAGTTTCTCATCTACAAAATAGAAAAATTAAGACAACTGTGGAAATAAATCAGACTTAGAAGGTTAAACACTTTGTAGTTCAAAGTGCTAGAGAAGATGATACAATCATCAGAACAAAACAAATTAAAGCGTTCTCAGTTTACAGAGTAACTATGTTACTATTATTTCAGATATGTATTCTAGATTCATTCACACATGGCCAGATTCAAAGCAGCATATTTTAGATGGTTCCTGAAAAACCTGTAAGTATAATCCTTGTTTTGTCCTCAAGGCACACTCTTGAGAGTGCTTAATTTTGGAAATGGAAAGTCCTGTTACAGTACTTCCATTCTCCACCTTCCCCACACATATAGTTCAATCATTTAGTGTGCTTCAGCCACCACTGATTTCTACTCATCCACACAGATCAAATGAGTGGATCACCACAGGCAGATCAAGCCCAGTGCAGGTTCATCTACATGACAGGGTCCCTGCATCAAATTAAGGGGGTTCTTGAAAAGAAAGCTGCTTGTTTTTTCAGAGGACTTTCTCAGTGCTGCTCCTTGTAAGTTGAAGTTCCCCACTTCATCCACACACCTTGCTGGATTCTAGATAACTTGAGCCACATTTAGACAGGGGCTTAGGATGCTGATGTTCTTGGTTCTCTGTATGCATGGGGCATCTTCAAAGCTGCTTTCCAATGGCTTGGTACTTTGATAGTATGGCCATATGCAAGGTACAAAGCACCACATATACAAGACAAAAAACAAAACCCAACACACAATCTTTTCTAAGAAAGTTGGCCAGAAAACCAATTCTAATCATGTGTTTTCATAGACATATATGAAAACATCAGAGCCATTTGAGAAACCTTCTCACCAACAAATCTAGAATACATACTAGAAAACTAAATATTGATGCTCATTTTCATGCTTCAGCCCTTTGGGCTGTTAATGATTACTGGGCTACTCTCAGTTTGTCAATTTGCATCATAAACTTGCTGTCTACCTACTGAATGGCTTCCTCCAAAAGTCTCGGTCCTTTTCCACTCAACACTATCATCAAGCCAGTTTCTTCTGAGTTGCCTTGTGGTCCTCATCTCGCAAGGCCTACAGAGCACCAAGCAGCCATCAACATCATGGATGCTTATGTGCAAAATTCTCATGTGTGCCTTTGACTTTCCACATGCAATAGCTTGTTCTTTTGTAATACTAGTAGGCCAGCAGTTCAACTGCTTAGTAGGCCATTAAGCAAGTAGAGCTGTGAAAGCTGGACTTTAAGGAAGGCTGAGCACCAAAGAATTGACACTTTTGAATTCTGGTGTTGGAGAAGACTCCTGAGATTCCCTTGCACTGAAAAGAGATCAAACCAGCCAGTCCAAAAGGAAATCAACCCCAACTGCTCTTTAGAAGATCAGATACTGAAGCTGAAGCTCAAATACTTTGGCCACCTAATGAGAAGGAAGAACTCACTGGAAAAGACCCTGTTGCTGGGAGCGATTGAAGGCAGAAGGAGAAGGGGATGGCAGAGGAGAAGGTGGCTGGATCAGTTGGGGAGGTGGGTGTGGGCTTGGGTGGACTCTGGGGGATGGTGGAGGACAGGAGAACCTGGAGGAACGTTGTCCACGGGGTTGCGATGGGTCGGCCATGATTTTGCAACTGAACAACAACAAATCCTCCCTTGACATACAAAGAGTCCAATACATGGCAAGTTCTTTTGAACATGAAAGGAATTCACCTTGGACCACTATCTGTCAACACTACCTGCCTGTCTCCATTTTCAGCCCCATGATCAGGGTGAAGGAGGTGGTCTTTGCCAAGTTAAGCAAAGTGAAATACTTCAAACTACAGTCCCATACCCTTTGGCTGTGAGTCCAGTGCACTGAACTCAGTGAGGGCTTGCATTTGAGTAGACACGTGTAGGATTGTGCTGCAGCTCTCTTTAAAAATGCCACTGCTATGGAAATATAAGTAATACAACATTGTGGGAACCCAGGGATGTCTGCTCAGAAGTAGCTCTCAGTCAGGCTGGCTCCTAGGGACGTGGGCCTTTCTGGGCTCAGGGTGGCTGGAGGGGACGAGCAGACAGCCTGGGAAGGGCGCCCCCCCCCCCACCCCTTCCCGCCTTACCCTCGCGGCGCGGGAGGAATAGGGGTCCTCGAAGAGCGCCCACATGCGCCGCTGGAGCCTCTTCCAGCGGCCGCCCTTGCCGTCGAGAGGGGAGCCGTTGGCGGAGGAGGAAGAGACGGCGCCCACGTCCTCGATGCCCAGGCGCTTGGCCGACAGCTCGTCGTCGGGCTCGGCGGGCGGCTCGCCCGTGATGAGGTCGGGCGCCTCGAAGATGTCCAGCGCCTCCTCGGCGTCGCGGTGCTGGCGATACGTCATCCAGCAGCAGGGCTCCACGTCGGTCTCGTCGATGCCCCAGAAGGCCAGCTCCTCCTCGAAGAGCGGCCCGCACACGTCGGCGGGGCAGTGCAGCTTGCCCGTGCGGTAGTAGTTGAGCACGTAGGCGAAGACGCCCGGGTGGCGGTCGAAGAAGAACTCGCAGCACGCGTCGCCGCCGCCGCCGCCGTGCGCGGACGCGGACGCGCCGCCGCCATGGCCGCGCGGGCCCCAGCCGCTCCCGCCGACGCCGTCCAGCAGGCCGCCGCCGCCGGG